ATAATATTTCGAGGTATGCTATTGGATGGAAGCTATCCAGTCAATACTACTTTATAAAAACGTGTTGATTTTTAGGACAATCTTAATTTTGGACCTCAGTTTTGAGGCAATCTGTCTGCATAGGGAATGGTCTGATAAGAGGTAGCATATTCCCCAGCAGGATATCTGTTTGTTGTCAGCCTGCCTTCTGGAAATTATCATATGTTGAGGAACATGGTAGATAATCAAAATACAGTTGGCAGAAAAGTTCTAAATTTTATTTAAGATTTTTTCCAACATCCAATATGTAATATTCAGTCTTATTTTTTATGTGTAAACCTGGAAATCAAAATATACCAATCCAACCAACCTGAGTACCCTTGAATGTACTTTCCTGCTTTAATTCATTGGCACTGTCAGCTGCAGCATCAAAAAAGCTGCAACAACTATATTTAGACCAAGAAACTATCGATGTGCATGGCTCAGTTGAGTATACTGCTAATTAATTTGGGATGCAAATTCATTTTTGTTTTCCCTTTGGACTCTAAAACCATAAAACTCATCCCATGAATCAACCTGAGACAGGAAATCCTAATTTATTGATTCCACAATATCACATGCCCAGCTATCCAAGACTAAGATTATCCCAGAGATTCAAATTCACCTCATCATCTTCTATGCAGCTCATCCCCAGAGGAAGCTAAAATGAGAAGATCTAAAATCGCCAGCTTCCCGGTGTTTCATTAGTGAACTCTCCAAGCAAATCCAATTTGCCAATTAATATCATATCCTCTCCCTCTAAACCACTGAATGCATCTCATTGTAAGTACAGAGAGATGCAAATGCCGTCTTCCCGTGAAAGTCTTCTTTCCATTAATCCTGCCTATTGCTTTTCAATCACCTTCTCAAAGGAATTTACAAATGTCCATTATTATCCTCAGTCTATTTAGGACAATTCTTAAAAAAGAAATCAGATACGGGAGTATAACTTAATAATTACTCGCGTTATTTATATTTTTTCCACATTTTTTTTTCTGCTAGATCTCTGCCTCTTCTGCACTGAGCAGCTTAAACAATCTTGTGAGCTGGGTGAGCCAAGGTGTCCCATTCAACTTCTGTAGTATCAGAGCAGAACTGCCTTTTGAATGGAAAAAGTTTAATGTTAAGCTCCAGGAACTTCTTCATTGAAACGGAAAGCTTTCCTTATAATTTATTCAGGGAGTTATATTTTATTTAAAAAGAGGGGGTTGTGGGGGGTTTGTAGTGGGGGGGAAGATACCTTCAAGTCTGTGTTGGCAGTTCAGTCAGTTGCCAACTGACTGAACAGATCCCTACAGTTTTATTGGTAGTTTTTTTCAGAAGGTGTTTGCCATTGTGTCCTTTTCAGGACTGAGAGAATGACTGGCTCAAGGTCATCCAGCTGGCTTCATGCCTGAAGTGGGAGTAAAACTCACAGTCTCTCAGTTTCTAGTATGTGCCTTAATATACCAAATTAGTTCTCTTAAAAGGCTTACTGAAACTTTTTGTTGTTAATGTTGCAATACACTATTACTAAGTTATGCAACCCTCTCTATTCCTTTCCTTTGACTTGAGCTGAGTAAATACAAAGACAAGGGAGAAGAAAGGCAACAAAATGTACAACAACAATATGCCCAAACAAAGTAGGATAAGATAAGATAAGTACACGATTCACAAGAATTCCAAAAGGTACAATTGTATTTTGATAAAAGGATCAGGCTTATCAAGACCATTTTATTTCTTAACGGCTGAGAACAGTGCAATGAAATACATCATTATTCAATATATTCAAAATATATTATATTCAATATAGAAATGATTTTGAGAGACTGGATCCAGAATTCCTGCATAGGGAATGGTCTGCCTAATTTCTTACATAGGAATGGTCTCCTGGGTGTCTCAGGAGCAGCTTGTGTTTGTCATACTGGGAAAGGAGAGGTTTGTGCCTAACAAGCTTTTAGGACCGCATGGAAGTTCTGCCAGTAGTCATGAGAGTAGCAGGAAGTATTGCAACAGCTAATAGATTGCAAAGTGGAAAATATGCTGTGCTAGAGAAATCTGAGGGGATAGAAATGATATCAGTCTGCAACCTGATACAAGTCCTAGTGAGCAACTAGTGGGACAACTATATAAGTAATAGTTCAAACTTCTGATTTAGGAAGCAGACTCTCTGTTCCCCTGAGTAATCTATCTATATTTCAGTTTCAATATTCCTGTCTAGGTACATTACTATTCCTGAGACAGTTTAGAGGGGATCCAGAGGACAGCCATGAAATTATTTAAAAGAAAGAAGGGAAAGGGAGAATGAAATGTGCCATGGTTAGATTTTGTACGCCTGTTCAGACCAGAAATATGGAGATGCCTTCATTGATTCTTAGAGAGCTGGATTAAATCTCTCTCATTTAACATCTTTGCTTAAGTAAGCAGTCCCAAGCAAAATGCTTTTTTGCTGTGGATGTATCCTTGGATAAGAAGTCCCGTCCACCTTGTCTTACTAAATGGTATTGGGTTTTATGTGCCTTCCTTATACTTACAGTACATTCATTTTAGGTGGGCCCAGCAAAAGAGCAAATATGGGATGGTGTTTCACTTTAAACAAAACTGGTGTTTTTATTAGAATGATGGGTGCATTGAATATGAACCTTGCAGGATGGACATGAAAGTATAAGAATTTTACAAGGATTATTTATCGTGCATCAGGATGTACTGCAAGAAGACAAAGGTTCTCCAGTATTATTGGTCTCTTGCATCCATTTTTACAGTAATATTGTTCTGAACATGGAGATTTTATTTAGCTATTTATATATTTATATTTAGTCTAATAATTCTTGATAAATCCTAAAACTCTCTCATCCAGGGATCATAACATATGAGGACAATGAGTTCAATAGGTTCATTTTGTATTGGTTACTTCATTTTCTTTATTTCTTTATTTAATGGAGTTTTTATTCCAGTCTTCAATGAAGAATACTCTTAGAAGGGCTTACTGGGCACTTATTTTTTAAAAGTGAAAAATAGAAAGAAGGCTCTTTGTACAAGGTTGCAGTCTAAAAGACATCATATAAAAGAAAAAAATGGATGGGGAGAGAAAAAAATGATGAACAGATAAATTGCATTATTATAAAACCAACGGATGGAATTGACAGGGTGATGGAAGAGAGAGAAAGATATTTGATCTGTCAGCAAAAATGAGGAAATGTTCTTTTCGTTGTATTCTGTATCAGTTTCATGGGATTTTGTCTGCCCTGAATGTACGTCATATAGTGAGCCACTGCATGGATTTTAGTGTTCCAATAGAGGGGTATACTTTCCCTATTCATTCTCTCCACAATATTCATTATTTTGCAATCTTCTATCATTTCCCCCTTTTTAAAATAAATCCCTAAACACTGCATGTCTGCCTCCATTGCGGAGAAGACCTGGGCATTTGTTTTGTTTTAATTCTTCCTATACTCAGAATTTTAAGACGTTGGAAAGAGGCTCCTGATTGGCTTTTCAGTATGATTTCATGAAAATTATCTGCCTGCAGGACTGGTGTGATAATGATTCATTGCTCTGGCTTTTAAAAATTGCATGAAGCTTTTAAAGCACTAATCGTGCCAATTAGCCAGAAAATGATTCATATGGAACTTACAAAGATGGATGCAGCTAGCAGAAATCTCAAATCTTATTGCAGTGTTTGTACCACAGTGGTGTCAGAGATGTTTGCTGAATATGGGCAAAAGTTGTATTCATCGCTGCCTAGGTCCCATGCATATAGAGGAGCCGAGAAACACTACTTCCTAAAGTCATACATCTGCCACTCTGTCTGCTCTGTCCTTAAAATTTATCAGCTTCCCCCCCAGCTATATATGTATTTCTAAAAAGATGTAACAGAAGAAAAGAATAAACACCTGGGATCACGTTGCAGTATTGTAAAAACATAGACAGTGATTCATTGAGAAGGAACTGGGGAAAAAAGTTTATGTGATGCCCTGATGAAGAACAATGAGGACATCACATTTCTTTCAGTTTGGTGTTATAGTCAAGGATGCTTTTTTTTTTTCTAGAACTATCTTACATCATTCAAAAACCCAAGGGCAAATGAATCTGTTAATTTCCTTTCTTTTAGTTTTACTGATATTTTTCTATCATATTTTGATATCAATTTGTGATTGCTATTACTGTTTTCCATATGAATGTTCATGTCCATTTAGCCTGCTTTTATTTTTTTGCCCAATTAATTTTTTTTCAAGCCACTTTTCCCAATTCAGTTTTATATATTGTTCTCTTTGACAAATATAGTTTTTAGGGGAAAATTCTATAAGTTTCAGTATTGTAAATCTTGAGGGCTAGCTATGTTTTGGTGATCTATTGGTTGAGGAAATTTCAGGAAATTAAATTTGTCAATTTCAGTACCTCAGTTTTATTGTGTTTTAAAATTTATTTATTTATAAATCTAATGTACAAAGGCTGCTCAATTTCCAAGTGTAACCTATTCTATTTCTGCTTTCTGTTTCTTAGATTTAACACAAGTTATCTGGGCTTTATCAGAAAAGTATGCTAGTAGTGATTGCATTCAGTGGTTGGATTCAAAATTTTTTATTACTGGTTCTGTGGGTGTGGCTTGGTGGGCATGGCTTGGTGGGCGTGGCAGGGTAAGAATACTGAAAATCCCCATTCCCTCCCCACTCCTGAAGGAAGGTTACTGCAAAATCCCATTCCCTCCCTACCCCATTAACCTGCTTTCCAGCTCCCTTCTCCTGTGCAGGGCAACAAAAGAAGACCCAGCCAATCAGCTGGGATTTGGGAGGCAGAGAATAGATGGGTGGGGCCAGTTAGAGGTGGAGTTTGCCGGTTCTCCAAACTACTCAAAATTTCTGCTACTGGTTCTCCAGAACTGGTTTGAACCTGCTGAATACCACCTCTGACTGCATTATTCAGCAGACTGAATGGGATCTATCTGAACTAGGTAGAATGTTTCTCTCAGCTAACGGGTTCTTTCCTGTTCTTGCAACCCACAGGCTACTAGGCAGAATGTCCACTGATGAGCGGCACTTGACCTCCAGTTGTGGATCTTTCATCAAGACTGAGCCATCCAGTCCATCCTCTGGAATTGACGCCATCAGCCACCATAGTCCCAGTGGCTCATCTGATGCCAGTGGTGGTTATGGCATCACTATAGGTGGCCATTCTAATGGCCTGGACTCACCACCCATGTTTGGCAGCGCAGGGATTGGTGGAGGACCTTGCCGCAAGCGATATGACGACTGTGCCAGTGCTATTATGGAAGATTCACCCACTAAATGCGAATATATGCTCAATGCCATCCCGAAAAGGCTATGTCTAGTATGTGGGGACATTGCATCTGGATATCACTATGGAGTGGCCTCTTGTGAAGCATGCAAAGCCTTCTTCAAACGAACAATTCAAGGTAGGAGGCCGGTGATAGCAAACTGAAATGGTTATATCAAAACACTGCTTTTGTTGGCTGACAGACAGAATTCACTATAGGGTTTTATCTTGGAATTGATGATGGCTAAATATTTTTGAATATTCAAGGAGATTAGAGCTGAAAAGCGAGCAACCAGAAAATGTGAATTTAGATAGCATAGGATTACAATAAAGGCATAATAGTATCTTTTACTAACCATAGCAACATTTTTCTTGTCGTCCTATAATTGGGTACCAAAACCATAAGTGCATTTTCTAAATCCTGGCTGTCAACTTTGGGCAAGTCAGATTATATGATTTCTATGCTTGCTACCTCATTGACATAATCAAATGTGTTTTAGACAAAAAAGTTACTTTCACTATTAAAATAGTTAGAGCCATAACTATAATGGGAAAAACAATACTGCCAGTTATATAAGACTGGGTTAAGGAGATCTATTTTACATCCTATTCAAAATGTTAAGGGTGAGAATCAGTAATTGAACTAAAAGCATTCCAAAATTTGGAATTAATACAAGAGTAGTTCTGTTCTGAGGCCAGAAGAACTGTCTGTTTCTGTGCGTGGAAGATATATACAGCAAATGAGATGGTGTAGCACCTTCCAGAATGGGATGTAAAGAACTCTCTAGGCTATTGGGTAGTCTCAGTAAGTGAAATTTGCAAATTTTGCATATTTAAATAAGGGGTGTCCAACTTTTGCAACTTTAAGACTTGTGAACCTCAACTCCCAGAATTCCGCAGTCAGCATGTTTGGGGATGTTAGTTCATAGCAATAGCACCTAGACTTATATACAGCTTTATAGTACTTTACAGCCCTCTCTAAGCAATTTGCAAAGTCAGCATATTGCCCCCAACCATCTGGGTCCTCATTTTACTGACCTTGGAAGGATGGACGGAGGAGTCAACCTTGAGCCAGTCACAGTCAAACTCCTGCCAGTAAGCAGAGTCAGCCTGCAATACTGCATTCTAACCACTGGGACACCATGGCTCAAATATAAATCTGTGAGTGCCAAAGATGTCGCTAAATGTTTTACCCTCAAAAGTAGATGTTTAACTCTCTTCTTATCAGTGTGAAAGTTTAATTAATTTTTTTCATCCTGCAGATTCAAGCACTCTTTCATTCAGTTCGTGTCGCTTCTCTAAGAGAGAAATATTCTTAGACTATTAGGAACATTTTCTACTTTTGAAAATAGATGCCTTTTTTTGTGGTATTAAGCTACCAACATTTTTTTTGAACTATGAAGCTTGTGCCAAGCCAAGAAATCAGTAATATTTTTGCAGATTAATATTGACATTTCAAGAATAAAATGTTATTTATAGTGGGCATTTTGGATGAGGGAATAAAAAAGGTGAAGATGGAAGCCCCCAAAGCTCTATCCTCTTTTACCTGTGTTGCAATGATGCAAAAAAAAGGGGGGGGGTAAGTTTTGATCGCATGGTTGTGACAATGTGATGGAGCACATTAGTGGCCTTGAGGAAAAAGAAGGAGAGATGCTGCCTAGGGAACAATCAAACCAGGGGGACAGAAAGATTCTATTAATGTAGCCGTACCATAAAGGACTACTGCCGCTCTAGTTCTTTTCCTATCTGGTTAGCCTGGGAGGTGGGGCTGACATTGCTCTTGTAAGTACAAACTTCTTCCCACCTACCAGTTTTAACTGCCTGATCCATTAGGGCAGGCCCTCTTGTCTGTGTCCTAGGCAGAATCTTTCCTTCTCTTTTCTCAAGACCACAAAGTTATTCCATTGCAAGCTTGCCATCTTGATTTTTTTTAACCATTCCTGTAAACATCCTAGTAAGTTAACTACTGGTCCGCTGCTTAGGAATTATTGCGAAACAGTTATTCTTAGACCCAGATAAATAATTAGACATTCAAATGCCACTTCTTTTTTAAACAGAAAATGATGGTAATCATTTTAATTATATCACGTAATATAATTATTGTACTAAATCTCTTAAATGGACATATTTATTTTCTTTATATCCTATTGATGTTGAAACTGTCAGCAGTAACTAACCACTAGTGAAAACCATCTGTGAAAGAAATATGACATTTTGACTTTCTAGCTGCTTTTAGTTCTTATGCATGCATCAAACAAGTAAAATATAATCCAACAGATAAACACTGAATTTGTTCCAGCTGAACTGACTTGTAGAGATCACACTCAGTTTCCCTTCTATAATATAGGAAGAAAATTGATCTTACATTGAAAGAAAAATTATAAAAAGTTACAAGGGCATGCACCTGAAAAGTGCTATAAAGCTTAAACCTTCAATTCAGAGAATGGCAGTGCTGCAAAAATCTCTGCGTTTTATTGACCTTATTATAGTAATATAATGTGGTAAACTGTAGCCATTAATCTGCTATTCTGTCAGTTTTCTAATCAATACATTTCAAACTACAAAAGTATACCTGCTTCATTTTTCAATATGTGTGCATATCAATACTGTACATACAGACGTTTTCTTTGTCCCTTCGAATTAGTGTTGACACCTGTTTGGACAAGTCCTTGCCATTTTCTTGGCAAGATTTCAGAAATGATTTGCCATTGCTGAACTTCCTCTGGCTGAGAGAGAGTGACTGGCCCAAGGTCACCCAGCTGGTTTTATGCCTAAAGCAGTCCCAGAACTCTGAGTCTTCTAGCTTCTAACCTGATGCCTTAACCACTACACTAAACTGGATCTTATCTAGACTCAGTGTATTATAACATGCATTCCCTTACCTATAGTTGTGCAATTGATGAATCTGAAATATTTTGCATTTTGTAAGCACCCACCGCTTGCACAAGTGCCCACCTACTTGCATGGCCCAGTTCTGAATGAGCTGTAGTAGCAGCCCAGGGGCTGGGGACCCCTGGTTTAAAACATATTCATGAACATTGGAACCTGAGAACAAAGTTATTAGTGTTCACAATTTAACAAAAGAAAGTTTCAACATATATAAGAAATGATTATTTTTTTTCCACAATCTTCTCATGGTTTTTTAAAAATGAGAAAAGAGACCTTTAATATTGAAATACTAAATTGTCACAGAACAATTTATCTTTCTCTAAAGCTTGATGGATCAGCTAATTTCTAATCAATGTCATGTTTGCATATTTATTCATAAATCCATTATTTTCTGTATCTGCTAATAATTCATATAAAAGTTCTATACCAGCTTATAATGCTGAATCTATTTTCTCCCAAATATGCTTCTTTAGATGTATTTTCTTTCCAAATGCTCATTTCTAAACTTCTTTTTAAAAAACTGAATTCACCCACCTTGCTGCTGTTTATTATCTTTTCTTTCCTTTCATTTTCTCCCCAGTATTAGAGCCTTTTTCAGAGAACTCAGTCTTCACATAATGTACACATTATGTACTAATTATATTTTTAACATGATCACTTGTCTCTTGAGTGACAACCCTGAGTTGATTTTGTTCAATAATCTATTTATTTGTTTTCTTGGCTATCCATAGTTTTCTCAGAGATCTTCTCTAACCCTAATTTTCAAAGATGCCAATGCTCTTCCTATCCTGATTCTTCAAAGTTCACCTTCTTCTTCCATAGCATCACAGAGAATACCACGGTTATATAATTCTGATCTTTGTAGGTATAGACCCATTGTGGCATTTGAATATCTTCTCCAATGTCTTCATGGCTGATCTACTAAGTGCTAGCCTGCAGTGTATTTCTTGATTGCTTGTTCCTTTTAGTATTGTTGGTCGATCCTAAAAAGGCAGAAGCTATCCACCTTTTTGGTATCTTCATTATCAGTTCTAAGGATTGTTTGTTCTACCTTTCTACCTATTGTCATTAGCTTGCGTCTTCATTTTTTTAAATTTTATTTTAGTCCCATGTTTTCAACTGTGCTCCTGCACTTTTATTACTAGGGCTTGCAGATCCTTTACATTTTTGGCTATCAGGATAGGGTCATCAGCATTGCTCAAGTTACTAATGTTTCTTCCTCTGATTTTAAAACCATGGTCATGTTTTTACATCCACCTTCCTTCAATATACAGTTGACATATAGATGGAATAAATGAGGGGGAATGCCTTGTCACACTCCTTTGCCATCCTTGAGCCAGCCTGTTTAATCATGTTCTGCTCATAGTATATATAAATTTCTCATGAGGATAATAAGATTTTCTGAGCACATTTCAGTTTGATGTCATCAACACAATTAGAGGCCTTTCTTCAATCCATTAACTATGTCATGACTTATTTTTGGTGTTGTTTGGCTTTCTAAATTAGACTACACACATCCCCAATAATATTGTGGGTTCTCCAGCCTTTTCTAAGGCCAGCTTGAATGACTGGCATTTCTTTTTCCATGGAGGGCTCTAAATTGTGTTGAATGATCCTAACCATTATTTTACTAGCATGTGAAATTATAAGAATATTATATTGTTTGAACAGTGTTAAGTTTTCTTGTTTTGGCATTGCAGCATAGATTGACATTTTCCAATCTTCAGCCACTGTGTCATTCTCCTAACATTAAATCAAAATCTGTCCCTCTGTAGCAGCATCTGTTATCCTATGTCCTGCACTATGGAATAATTCTTTTTTCTCTGTGGCATTCTTTCTGGCATTTGGCAAGTGCTATTCTATCTCCACTCTGGAGTCTTTTCTCATGGGCAAACATAGCAGTTCTCTTAATCTCACCTCATAGGATTTGGTATATAATCCTCAGATTATCCACATGGCTGTACTTCATAGTACTTTGTTCCAGTTCTCATGAATTCTCAACTGTCGTGCTCAGAACTGAGGACAGTGCTCCAAGATGACACTGATCAATGCTTGGTAGTCTAGAACTATTACTTTCTGCAATTTGTATAGAACTTATATTTCTGTTGATGCAATTTGCATTTGCACATATTAATGTTTAGATCAAGTTGAATTCAAAGACCTCTTTCAGGCATATTATTATCAAACCTTGTATGCTTAATCTTATATATGTCCATTTGATTTTTTTTCCTCTATGTGAGGAACTTTGCA